TACATTTGTATTGGAACTACTCTGAATCAGGGATGGAAAATGAAAAATGTGAAAAGGTACCAAAAGAGTACTTTTTTAAAAAAAGAGTACTTTTTTCAAGATAATAAAAAAACATTTTATTCAGTTCATAAAGATCGATTTTCAATATATCACTTAGTCTACCTTTCTGATGGTAATAATATGAGAATTCTAGCTTCTTACAATTGCATTTGAATATGTATGCTAATGACTAATTTTAATTTCACTACCTCTTTCTCGAAAGCCAATATACCCCAAACTAACATGAATTTCAGTTCCAAAGTGATCTTGAAATTATTGAAGTAATCACGACGACTAGGAATGTCATCAATTTGCCTTTCTCAGGAAATATCACAGAGTATGCAAATTTGGGTATCTGACAAACATATCCGGTTAAAAAAATGGAACTCATTAACTTAATTTAATGTTTGCAATTTTAATCATATCTGAACAGTTATCAGTCGTAAACCTGTTCATTTTTTCAATGGGAATATTGCAATAATATCAATATCTTTATCTGCATACTTTTGGTCAAATCCATAACAAATTCTAATAAAAAAAATAAAAAAATATATATATACATATATATATATCATGGTTTAATGAAGGTTTAGAATGGTACTGAAATGGTCACGGGGGTACTGCGGTACTTTTTATGGGTAAAAAGGTACTTAAAAAAGTACTATTGTACTGAATTTTCCATGCCTGCTCTGAATTAACTTAGAAAAAAAATAAATAAAGTAGAATACTAAGTAATTACAGAAATTTATCTTCAGTATTCAACTACAAAAAAGTATTTAGGATAGTTGCATTAAATCTGTGAACAGAAAATTGTTCTATGATTACGGAAACAATTCGGGCAACAAAGGGTTAAACATAATTTTTATCTATGAATTCGCTTACTGGCCGACCTTATATAGGCCTTGATGTTGTCTTTTTACTTCTTGTAATGTTGTTTGAAGAAGAAGAATCTCTCTTACTCTCACAAAAGAACTTACTGAGTAATTATTACTGGGAAAGAACGCAGACATACCTAGTGTTGTACGAATGGGTTAGTTCATGTACGAGATTCCAAAATTTGTGTATTTTGTAATAACCCTGCCCTCACTTATCCAAAATTTTGAAAATATTCAGTATAAAGTTAAAAAACATAAATGGAAATGTATAGAATTTATAATTATACCGTTTCCACACATATCCTCTAATAAACATATACACATTTTATTTGCATTATAACAATAATTTCGAACATAACTAATGTATATTCTTTCATATACAGTGGTGATCACGTAATTAAAACATTTACTATGGTAAACATTTTTTGATCAGCCCTCGATTCGTTTGAAGTACATATACTGCACTTAAGAGATTTAATCCGAAAATACAAATTTCCATAAATAAGGGGTAATTTTTGTAATTTTTCCATAAATAACGGGTTTTATGAAAAACATCGACTTTGAACAGGCCATATAATTAAAAGATTGCTTGATTTTTTATTTTTAGTGCTTTTTTGAAATTATTAAAAAAAAACTCATTAATTTTTTAAATTAAGTAAGCTGCTCTTCTTTGAAGTACTTCGCTTTTATACGAATTATAGCAATTCGCCCATATATTCGAGGGAATCTGGAGACGAGGTCTTATATTCTCCTGTTAACCAAAAATCCGCAGCCAACATCATGTCTCGTTTTATGGCAACTGTATTGAGTTCCGAAATATGTAGTTTTTATGTTCTTTTTGGCAATACTTGATCTGATTATGTTTTTCTTTGATGAAACTGAATTTTTTCGTAAAGGTTGCCAAGTTAGCGAATAAATTAACTTACTATTTTCCCACATTTCTTCCAACGATTCTACTATCTCTTCTATATATTCGTTAAATATTTGTACACATTCATGCTTCTAAACCTATCGTGTTTCACAATATTAATGTACTCGTTTACAAGATTAATTTGCTTCACGTAATATTCTACATACTACGTAATTAAAACATTTACTATGGTAAACATTTTTTGATCAGCCCTCGGTTCGTTTGAAGTACATATACTTACATATACTGCACTTAAGAGATTTAATCCGAAAATACAAATATCCATAAATAAGGGGTAATTTTTGTAATTTTTCCATAAATAACGGGTTTTATGAAAAACATCGACTTTGAACAGGCCATATAATTAAAAGATTGCTTGATTTTTTATTTTTAGTGCTTTTTTGAAATTATTAAAAAAAACTCATTAATTTTTTAAATTAAGTAAGCTGCTCTTCTTTGAAGTACTTCGCTTTTATACGAATTATAGCAATTCGCCCATATATTCGAGGGAATCTGGAGACGAGGTCTTATATTCTCCTGTTAACCAAAAATCCGCAGCCAACATTATGTCTCGTTTTATGGCAACTGTATTGAGTTCCGAAATATGTAGTTTTTATGTTCTTTTTGGCAATACTTGATCTGATTATGTTTTTCTTTGATGAAACTGAAATTTTTCGTAAAGGTTGCCAAGTTAGCGAATAAATTAACTTACTATTTTCCCACATTTCTTCCAACGATTCTACTATCTCTTCTATATATTCGTTAAATATTTGTACACATTCATGCTTCTAAACATATCGTGTTTCACAATATTAATGTACTCGTTTACAAGATTAATTTGCTTCACGTAATATTCTACATAAAGTTGTACAAAATGTAAAAATTCGGTAGTACAAAATGTAAAAATTCGCTGTTGCAAACATAGATTTACTGTGAAAAAATTCATTTAGGGGGGCCCGGGCCGCCCCCTGCGTACGTCCCTGGATCAAGGCCTATATAAGGTCGGCCAGTAAGCGAATTCATAGAAAAAACTTAATTTTACCGTCAATTTTTTTTTGCCGAGGCGAAGACTAATTGTTTCGCCTTTAAATAAAAAACACAGCCTAAACGCAATCCAATTTATAATTTGTACGATAATTTACTTGAAATTTAATTTAAGGTTGACAAAATATTAATATTTTCCTTTTGACGTCTAACATAATTTCTATACATACATAGATTTCAAAATATGATTTGACAACAAACTTTATACTCACCTGTGCTTACTGGCTGACCTTATATAGGCCTTGGTTTTGATTTTGAAAATGAACCCCTTTCAATCAGATGAATTTCGGTAATTTTCAAACTTGTCAGAAACAAATTTTGGAATAGAAAAACAAATAATTGTGATGAAATAAAATAAAATCAATTTTAATTCGAAAATAAAATTTTGTGAAGGAAAAAATCATGTTTTTGTAATTTTGATTGAAGAGTCGTCTACACAATCTTACATTTAATTTAGTAGTTTTTCGAATGGTATACGTAACGGCAAACGAACGATAGATTTCGAAATACATGAACGTTTTTTAAACAAAAGTGAGTGAGTTACTTTCTTTCGCATTGATTTCCGTTCGAAATAGAAAAACAGGCTGATATTTTCATCCGCTAAAACCGAAAATAATACAGCACTTTTCACTTCTTCAACAATAGACTCCTGGGTGTATTCTCCAATTAGTTCTATTATCTCGTTATGTATTCTGGGACTCATGTATGTTGCATTTTTGGGTGTACTCTCCAAACATTTTCTAAGTTTACGTCTTACGACAGTATTCAAGAGGCTTTACTTCTCCTTAATGCGATGTCTTCCGTTTCAAACAATAAAATTGTCTCAATGACCACATCAATTGTATACGCAGTTCTTTCAATATGCCTGAAATTTATTTGTCCGTAACATGTTCTATACGTTTCAAAAAGTAACAAACACAAAAAGTATATATTAGTATGAACTGCCCTAACTTAGATTCGATAGAACAGGCCGCTATGAGAAAAAATTGTATTCCCTAGTTTCGCTCCAAAATCTGCAAGAATCTAGTAATTTTACAAGTTTTCCAATTGTTTTGTACTTCATACCATGGTATAATTATTACAAGGTAGGGCACAGCTACCAACTGATTACAATATTTTCTCAATGTGGCTTATTCCATCAAATCAAAATACATATTTTGTGTATGTGTGGGCAATGTCAAATAAATTCAAAATTAATTGGAATATATTCAAGTTTAATTGAAATGAAAATAAAGTTTTTAACACGTTCGTCTGGAAGTAATTACTTTGTTATGGATGAAACAAGTATTTGATGGTATTCCCTACTGGATTTTGGGAAGAAATCATAACCTTTCATTCATTTTTCGCGATTTTAGTTTTGTTGCGTATATTTATTTTATTTTTGGCAGAAGAGGCCACACGTGCATAGTTGATTTTTTGTTATTCACCTCAAGCTGCCCTACCTTGTTTTATTGTACCATGCTTCATACATTGCCGTGTTTATTCACCAGGACTGGTTATAGGTTACTTGAGTTTTCCAACTTTTTACGCGAAAACCGTACCTGAACCCACAAAACTACTAAAACTTTCAATCAAACTTAAGAGAACACAAAACAAAATGGCGTTCTTTTTCTAAACTTTTTAATCGAGGTTTTTGCCGAATAAAAATTATAGCCACGAATGCATAATTGTGATTGACAGTTGTGTTGATTTTGAAGTATGGTCATTTGGTTTTACACTTGTACTAGTTTTCCGTTCTATAGAACCTTTCGTACAATTTTGTACTCAGCGAGCGATTTTTTACATTTTCCCTTTTACTACACGTTTATTGTGGTAAATTTAGCATACTTGTTTCATGTCCAAGTAAAAATGATAACCATGAACGCCACTTTCGGCTTCCACGGGGTGCACTTTAACAAAATACTTAATTGGCCTCAATATATTTGCGTGTGTATCATAAATTATTGTTGGAATCCAACTTATTCCAGAAGTTATACTCTTCTGAATACAAGTCTTACTTATTTTGTTAGAAGTAAGTTGTTATGCTTTATTTTTATTTTTGTTTTTACATTAAATTAAAATTGATCTATTATGGTAAATGGATTTGTGGTATGATTGCTGCCTCAGGTGGTTGAGTTGGTAGTGGCGTTTGCAGTGGTGTCGGACTGAATTTACTTGGTGGCAGATTTAAGGTAAGCAATAAGATCCCCGCGTTCATTCGGTTTCTTTAGACCAGCAAAGATCATTTTTGTGCCGGGGATGTATTTCTTTGGGTTTTCTAAGTATTCGAACAATGTGTCATCGTTCCATGTAATGCCCTTGGACTTGTTGGCATCTGAGTAGGCGAAGCCTGCTGCCTGGCCTGTCTTACGACCAAACAGACCATGCAAATTTGGACCAACCTTGTGTTTTCCTCCAGCTTCAACGGTATGGCACTGTGCGCAACGTTGAACAAAAATTTTTTTGCCCTTTTCAACATCACCAGCAGGTACTCCCATTTCGGATTTTTATACGTATAGAATAGCTTCTGAAAAAATACGTTTTCATTATACAACAATAATGTGCCTATGTGCGCATGCAATCTGTTCGTCATTATTTATCGGTCTGTTCCCGTACTGCACGAATCTACTACTTTTTACTACGATAACGAATTTTCCTCTAAGATATCGAAGAAAATAGAAAAATCGAGTAGATTTATCTGATGGTGAAATCCATTGTGGATTTTTATACGTATAGAATAGCTTCTGAAAAAATAAGTTTTCATTATACAATGTGCCCATGTGCCCAAAAGTGGTATTAATTTTGTTTGTGGCATTGTGCCCTTAAACATGATAGAATGTATAACGCAATATAGACTTTTTTGAGAAAACAAAGATTTGTATCAGAACCTAAAATGGACCTTAACCTCTTTCAAAATAAAAGACTAATATATCTAAATGACAAACATCTATTTCATCTATTATTTCCTCAAGCCTCTATATTACACTATTTCACTATTGGTCTCTCTGTGAAGGTCATACGTAGGGATCACTTCACACCGATATTTTACGAATGGATTTGACCTTGAAACAGAATATAATGTACCAAAAAGTAGGTAAAAGCGCCACATAAAAACGACATTTTTCTAGAAGAGAACAAATGAAAGTAATATAGCAAGTCAAATTCTAAACAGAAAAATCTACAATATTATTGTATTAAAAATATACACGAATTATTATTTGGTTGGTATACATTCCAAAAAACGCAAATGCTTTGCACGAAAATGGGTAAATCAATGCAATTGTTTGCAGCACTTTTGATTAGAAAGAATTTGCAGACCAATCGAAACAGACACCTTGAACGACTATTTATTTTAAGAGAGAATAAAATATAGACAATTCAAATGGAATCATGCCAACAATTTTTTTAAGTATATAAATACAGTGGGTGCCAGGCAATGACAACGCAGGAATACATTCGACAAGCGCCCAATGTTAACAAATGTTAAATGCGAAAGTTAATGTTTCATTCTACAAGGATCGACTTAAATCTCCGGCATGAAAAACCAATTTAAGAGTTAACCAGAAGTATCGGCTTTGCATTTACAACGAAGGATTAAACCGTTCGTATTATTTCATATAGAGAAATGCCCAAAATAATTGAAAAGTTTGACACTTTACCAATGCTTCGCTATTGCTATTAAATCTTAAAATTGTTCGTTACACAAAGAATAAGTATATATATATATATATATATAATGCTGTGTTTACAACCAACATGGGACAGTGTCAAGGGAAATTATGCAAGTGCTTTGAAGGCAACACTATGAAATGTTAACACTGACATGTGTTTGCATAATCACATTATCAGATATATTTGTATGTATAGCATACACACGCAAATGACCGACATAAATCGTTAGGATGACCACAACCAAAGTTGTTTTTACTTTCCGATTTCTTCGATGTTATCACCTTATGTAACAGTGCACTTCGGTTTCCTGCACATATCTAACGATGTACATTTACATGCATCGTACGAAGTAAGCACTCGTACAAAGGAACAACTCTTTCGGTTAACTTCGAAAGTCAGTTATCGGAACAAAGTCACAGTAACACACTTCGAGAAATTACAACCTACAATACCACTCTTTCTCTTTTCCACGCTATTCCCTTGCTGGCGCTAATTCCGCAGAATATCTAAAGAGTTTTGTTGTGTAAGTACGCTATTCGAACAATTTGCACGTCTTTAATTTGCACTGCGAGATGGAATACTTACATCGACAACGAGATACACAAAATGACTGCCGTATTGGAAAAACACGAACGAACGAAAACATAGATATCTGACGGAAAAGTCTTTTTGAGAAGTGTTGCCAAAGCATTTAGACACAAATTGCAGCTGAAATTGGTTTTCGCGCTTTATCGTTGATGCGGTCCTATTCACAGATGGAACGCATTGCAATGTACTAAGAACAATGGCAGTAGGGCGCAGAGACACATATGCATGTTTAGCCACAAGGACATTTGTGACTGCAAATCTCTTTAGCACACGTTTACGTTTCCCATTTTGAAAATTGTTGGTAACAATAGGTTTGCTTGATATCCCAAAAATTTGTTCAAATTGTTACTGAAACTTAAAGATTCAGTAAATGAGTGTAAGTTGGGAGAGAAATTTTGTCAGTTTTGTACCGAGTATTGAAAAATTCTTACTGGTAAAATTTACTCAGTGAGAATTTTCATGTTTATGTTTTATTGTCATCTTCTATCTATACATATATAAAAGAGCTTAGTGTTAAGTGAGTGAGTGACTGACAGATTATCGCCCAGACGAAACGGCTGAAGCTAGAAGCTTGAAATTTTGTGTGAGGGTTGCGGTTGGTGTGTAGGCATGAGATAAGGCTGGGTTTTTGGAAATTCGAACTAGAAGGGTACGAAAAGTACTAAAATGTACAAAATATGGTACCCTTTGTATTAGGCGAACGGGAAAAGCTAGAATTTTGAAATTTGGAATGTGGGTCACTGATGTGAAGTTAGGAAGATGTACAAAAGGGTTTTTGGAAATTCGTACCAGAACGGTACGAAAAGTACTAAATGTGATACCATTTGTATTTGGCGAACCGGTAGAGCTAGAACTCTGAAATTTGGATTGGTGGTCGCTGAGTGTAGGATAGATGTATCAAAGGGTTTTTGGAAATTCGAACTATAAATATCCGATAAGTACTAAAATGTACTTAATTTGGTACAATTTCGTAGCATGTGAATTGATAGAGCTAAAAACTTGAAATTTGGAATGCGAATTAGGGTTGAGATTTAGAGTCTATTTAAGGAGATGGTTTTGAAAGCGTGTACTCATGTGTACGAAAAGTACTATATGGGTACTAAATTTGGTACAAGTTGAATTTTATGCGAACCAATAGAGCTAGAATCATGAAATTTGGAGTCAGGATCACTGTTGGGGTGTAAGATCGAGATATGTAGGAAGTTTTAAACATTCTTACTAATGTGTACTAAATTTGGTACAATATGAATTGTGGGTGAACCGATAGAGTTGGAATCCTGAATCTTGGATTTAGGATGACTCTGGGGGTGAAAGTTTGGGTAAAGTGGGACGTTTTGGAAATTCGTACTACTACGCAGAAACACATATGCATGTTTAGCCACAAGGACATTTGTGACTGCAAATCTCTTTAGAACACGTTTACGTTTCCCATTTTGAAAATTGTTGGTAACAATAGGTTTGCTTGATATCCCAAAAATTTGTTCAAATTGTTACTGAAACTTAAAGATTCAGTAAATGAGTGTAAGTTGGGAGAGAAATTTTGTCAGTTTTGTACCGAGTATTGAAAAATTCTTACTGGTAAAATTTACTCAGTGAGAATTTTCATGTTTATGTTTTATTGTCATATTCTATCTATATATATAAAAGAGCTTAGTGTTAAGTGAGTGAGTGACTGACAGATTATCGCCCACACGAAACGGCTGAAGCTAGAAGCTTGAAATTTTATGTGAGGGTTGCGGTTGGTGTGTAGGCGTGAGATAAGGCTGGGTTTTTGGAAATTCGAACTAGAAGGGTACGAAAAGTACTAAAATGTACAAAATATGGTACTCTTTGTATTAGGCGAACGGGTAGAGCTAGAATTCTGAAATTTGGAATGTGGGTCACTGATGTGAAGTTAGGAAGATGTACAAAAGGGTTTTTGGAAATTCGTACCAGAACGGTACGAAAAGTACTAAATGTGATACCATTTGTATTTGGCGAACCGGTAGAGCTAGAACTCTGAAATTTGGATTGGTGGTCGCTGAGTGTAGGATAGATGTACCAAAGGGTTTTTGGAAATTCGAACTATAAATATCCGATAAGTACTAAAATTTACTTAATTTGGTACAATTTCATAGCATGTGAATTGATAGAGCTAAAAACTTGAAATTTGGAATGCGAATTAGGGTTGAGATTTAGAGTCTATTTAAGGAGATGGTTTTGAAAGCGTGTACTCATGTGTACGAAAAGTACTATATGGGTACTAAATTTGGTACAAGTTGAATTTTATGCGAACCAATAGAGCTAGAATCATGAAATTTGGAGTCAGGATCACTGTTGGGGTGTAAGATCGAGATATGTAGGAAGTTTTAAACATTCTTACTAATGTGTACTAAATTTGGTACAATATGAATTGTGGGTGAACCGATAGAGTTGGAATCCTGAATCTTGGATTTAGGATCACTCAGGGGGTGAAAGTTTGGGTAAAGTGGGACTTTTTGGAAATTCGTACTACTGTGTACTAAATTTGGTACAAATTGGTTTGGGGTAAGTAGGAGGTTTTAGAAATTCATACTACTGTGTACTAAATATCGTACAATTTGAATTGTAGGTGAACCGATAGAGTTGGAATCCTGAAACTTGGATTGTGTAGGAAGTTTTGGAAATTGGTAATGCTATGTACTAAATTTGGTACAATTTGAATTGAGGGTGAACCGATAGAGTTGTAATCCTGAAACTTGGATTTAGGATCACTGTGGGGGTGTAGGATTGGGGTATGTAAGAAGTTTTGGAAATTGGTACTACTGTGTACTAAATTTGGTACATTTTAAATTGTGGGTGAACCATAGGATCTGGGTATGCAGGAAGTTTTGTTGGATGGTTGACGTGGGTACTCTTGGAAATAATGTGTGCTAAATGGAACTAAATTTGTGCACCTTTAGAGCTCGAATCTTAAAATTTGGTACTAAATGGTACTCAAATTTAATTTATGGTCGATATTACAATGTGGGTTTTTGGAAATTCGAAAAGTACTAAAATGTACCAAATATGGTACCCTTTTTATTAGCGAATGGGAATAGCTAGAATTCTGAAATTTGGAATGTGGTTCACTGATGGAAAGTTAGAAAGATGTGCAAAAGAGTTTTTGGAAATTCGACCTATAACTGTACTAAAGGTACTAAACTTTACTAAATTTAGTTCCAATTGTATATATATATTGAACATATATAGCTAAAATCTTGACATTTCAAATGGAATACATGTTGGATTTTGCTTTAA